TCTATTTGCTAAGTTTTCTGTCATTAATTCTGTGAACAGCTTTTTTAAGTCATTTGTATTTTCTCCTGCTACTTCATGGATTCCTATCAGTCTTATGTTATTCTTCTTCGCATCATCTAGGAGTTGTTCTATTGATTTCTCATGATCCCCTACTGTTTGTAAGAGACCTCTCTTTTCAGGGTCACTGACTGCAATCTTATCTTCTACATCTGAGATTCTATCTTCACATTCTTTTATTCTGTTGCATACACTTTCAATGGAGTGTTTAATCTCCTGGATATCTGTTTGAATCTGTTTTATCGATTCCATTTCTTTCCTATGTTGGGCATTTATTGTTTCCATTCCTTTCTCATGCTGGGCCTTCATGACTTCTATCATGGTCCTGAGCTTATCTATTTATTTGTCAGTTTCTTCTCTAGAGTCTCCAATCACAACTTTCATTTTGTTCACCATCTCTATGGTTATCTGGAAAATTATTTCTGTTTTGAATTTTTCTAGAGCCTGATTGATCTGTTTTGTTACTTCCTGTGCTTTGAGTTCAAGGTGTCCTGGTGGTTCACTATCGGCCTGTTCATCCTCCTTTGCCCTACTGTTTGTCATTGGTGAACTGGAAGTCTGTCTTTGTGTCTTGCTTGTTTTCTCAACTTAATTGCTTAAGTGTTTTCTCAATTTTTGTGGTTGGGCTGTCCTTGGTTTAATCTCTGGGCTATCACCCAAATCTTCCTTATATAGTTGTGCCCTAGCTTCTGGGTCTCTAATGACCCACAGACATTGTCATCTTCATAACATCAGAGAAAACAGCTCATCAAATCAACCACAATGCTTTATCCCAACTGATACATTCAGCAACACAAAAGGATCAAGCACAACTTGGAAACTGACCACCTGTGGTAGTCACTAGTCTATCACCCTTAGACCATTTGAATTAAATTGAAATCAAGAAGCAGTCCAAAATATTTCTGCAGTAACAAACTTTTCAATATAGAATATTTACCATTTAGGATGGGGGCTCAGACAGAGATAGGATGCAAGACCCGTGATCTCATTTAACTGATGGCTGAACCCCATGACGCTGCTGACCTCAGGCTGCAAGGCCCAGATTAAGTTCCCCAACCTTCTGAATGGTTGAACTCTACACCATTCTACTACAGGTTTCCCATTCCCCTTCTTTAAAGATGTTCAAAGTTGGGAACTCAGAAAAATACCCTTTATGACCATCTCTGCCTCTGCAGAGTGGGTCCAAAGACTGGCACAATCAGGAGGTCTGAGAGTGCATGTGGCAGAGGGTAGGGGAGTTGTGGGGCTTCTGGGGTGCCTTGGCAGCTACCTTCCTGGCGCTGGAGCTATGGGGGCTCCCTGCGGGAGAGAGCATGGCTGTCTGTACTTTTCTTTTGAAGGTGATGTATCTTTTCTCTGTCCCTGTGCTTGCTTTTAGGATATTCCTGTTATCTTGATTTTCAGCATTGTGACTTGATTTTGTTTCGGTTTAACTTTTTCTAGTATGCTATTTGCTATGCTTTCTAACTATACTTAATGTATTGAATCAACTTTGAGATATTCTCAGCAAGTTTTAACCCTTTCTAAAAGTATTGTTTCTCCTTTGTTATGACTGCACTTACATGTGTATTTGATCTTATGATTCCCATCTCTCTTATGTTCTGTTCTTTTGTTTTCTTATTATGCTTCAGTTGGGACATTTTCTGCTTTATTTTCAGATTCACTAATCATTTTTTGTTGTCTTGGCCCTGAAATGCATCCACTAACTTCAAAATGTCATATGTTTTATTTTTCATTTCTAAAATAACTATTTAATTCTATTTTAAGGTTTTATTTCTTTGTTGAAGTTTTCCCTTTTTTTTCATCTATTCTGAATATTTTTGTCTTAAAAAAATTAGGTAGTTTTAAAAATTCTTGTCTTCTAATTCTGTATTATCTGTGGATCTCCCTATAGTTGTTGTTTGTTTCTAGATTATTGGTAATACTTTGTTTTATTGTTTTAAGGCTTGATACACTTCACGTCAAGCTCTCCCAGCCCTTAATGTTTGTGTTCAGGAGTGTGCTGTAATTCTAAAAGATTTACCTTTATACCAATAATTGATTTGTTACTTTTCTCTAACAGCATTGACGTTTTGATCAATGTATTGGACTTCTGAGATTTTGTCTATGATGTGTTGTTTGTAAGATTTTTCTTGATCAAGGATAATTAGGGATCTATATGCTGCACTTAACTATTTTTAAGTTTTTTCCTATTTGGGAAGTTTTTTGGTATTGTTTCTGTAAACAGGTTTTTTATGCCATTTGTGCTATCTTCTGATTTTTTACTCATTCTAGTTAATCTTTGATAAGTCTGTGTCATTTAGCTAGCAGCTGTTAGATCCCTTTTTCACTTTCTCTTTTTTTAAAGTATCTCTGAATAATTAGTCTTTGACAGCAGTCCTAATAGTCTACTCCTGACATTCTGTTCCCACTTCTGTTGCCCATATTTTCAGTAGAATTTTTAATCTCCAGGATTTCTGTTTGGTACCTTTGTCTGGACTCTAATTCTTTGTGGAAATGATTCTTCATGTTTTATATTATTTTGTTCAGATTAGCTTTTTATTAGTGTCTTCTTTAAACTCACTGATCATTATGTGCATTTATCTGCTTAGTTTTATCTTTTTTGAACTTGCTAAGCAATTTATTGATCTGGATTTTTATCTCTTCTGTTATCCTTTTGAGTAATTGCACTGTGTGGCTTTTAATTTCCTCCACCCTTATATCGGCTTTGGCGGATGTGGGAGTTTTTGGAGGTATTTTGTTTCCTTATCCTCACATTTTTCTGTTGTTTTTGTTGTTTTGTTTATTGTGTTGATTCTTTTAGGTACTTATAGCAGACTGTTCTGCTAGTATGGAGACTTCTTTAGTTAATCTGCTGTTCAGTAATATACTCTGGGCCTGGTTAATGATAGGCCTTTGTTTCTGTACCAAGATTTAACCATTTCCACTAATTTGGGAGGGAAGGATGGAGGGTAATTGACCCAGAACCTCGATCTTTGGGAAAGGACTGCAGTATTGTTAATAACACAAAGGCAGTCTGGATATTGGCATACAGAGAAAATTCATTAATAGCAAGTTGCTAAAACAGCAACTAAATCAGCAATAATAATAGCATCAAAGACAATATTGGCATACCATAAATACCAATAATATACCATCCTTAACCATTGAAAAATAGATCTATCGGGTCAGGGATTTAGCTCAGTGGTTCTGCTGCCTGCCTTGCAAGCACAAGGTCCAGAGTTTGATCCCTGGTACAAAAGAAAAATAGATTTATAATTATTGTATAGTATAAGTAAATAGTAGGTGAAGTCAAGTATTGACATTAAGTAAATATCTACTAAATGTAAATACTTCACTAACAATAGAAAAATAAACAATAATAACATTTAGATAACTATAGATTAATAAGTCTTGACGGTTATAATAGTAAAGGTAAGAGGGGATGGAGAGTGGGAGATTGAAAGGACAAAAATTTGAAAAATGGAGCAATGGAAAATGATGTTTTAGAAAAAAGTGAGATAAAGAATCATAGTATTAAGGTTAAGAGGAAATTAATAAATTAGATAAAGAGAACAGAAAAGAGCAAACAAGAAAAAGAAGAAAAAAGATGAAAACAAAAGAATTAAAAAAGCAAATTAAAGGGGAAGAAAAGAAGAAAAGACAAAGGAAAATTCCCGACTCCCAGAAATCCAGTAAAGAAGAGAAAAGGGAAAAATTTTGTTTTTCTATCGTTTTGAATGAGGTCTTTCTAGGATCTGAAGTTTTGAAATCCAGAAAGTCATGGTTTTCTCTGCCTAGCTGTTTAGCCTTTGGATTATTGTTAAGTGACCTTCTGATTCAGATTCTCCTGTCTCTTCACCCCAGACTGTGGCAGCTGTCTAAACCCAGGAATGTTCTTGGTCATATTGAGATGTGGGGAAAGCAGTAAGAACTATCACCTGTGCTGGATATAGTTAAGAGTTCAAGCAAACCAGTATAATCAATGCCAGCACTTTCATACCCAGTTTGTTTCTGAAATCCACTCACTAAACCTAGCTTCTCACCACAGAAGGCAGGCCCCTGTGTCCTTCCTGACCTGAGCTTAAACTTCTCAGAAGGTTTATGTGTAGTCCACACTCTCTTTGCAACTGTCTCACTTGAGTCATCTTGGGAGGATAACACTAGGAACCATGAGTGAACTTGCTTTTTAGTTGTTCTTAGGCTCATTCTTAAATAATCAATTCCTTCCCCAAATGGTCTGCAATTAAACACTCTGGCAATATGGCAGTCACTTTACTGGGTTCCTTGGGTAACTGTTACCTTCTGTGTAGAAGGAGTCAGTTTTGAAGTAAAACCCCCTACTATTTTTGCAATGTACAATAGCCCTAGGCTTATTAGTACTACCTCTCCTGATCTGATCTGTTATTTCTTCCCGAAGCTCCTGACTCCTGGGGCTTCCCTCATGTCTTTGGAAACAAGCTCCCCTCCCTGGGATCCAAGTCAAGCTTCTAGACTGCTTTGTTCTGTTCTCTGTGTTGTGGTCCATTTCTCTAACTTCTCTGTAATTTCTAATTTTCCTCTCAGTTCCTTCCTATTCCCAGTGATTTATTTCTTTTTTTTTTGTCTTTGTCAAATTGTTACTTTCAAGGTGTATGGATTCTGTGTCCCAGAAAGGCTGTATTTTGCTGCTGATCACTACTCTACCATTTTTGGTTCATCCAGAAATAAAACAAAATTTAGACCTATATGTTTATTATTTTATATCTTTTGTTTAATACAAAGTCTGTGCCTCAATTTTGGCTTATTATTAAAATGTTGGCTCTGTTTATTGAATATTAATATTTAAAAGGCCTAAATGTCAATCAGTTAGGGATATGTGGAAAATTTTAAAAGCTAATTTTGTTTCAAAATTCATTTTGGTCATCAGTAGCTTAAATGAAATTAAGCATACATTAATTGTCTTTCCTTTCTTTCCTGTTTAGTGAGTGATAGTTGCTTCAGGAATCTTGCAGAAGATCGTAGCGGGATAAATCTCAAAGATCTTGTACAAGATCCTTCTTTGTGAGTATTGTTTTTCAGCACTAAATATAATTTAAAACTTTATTGTTGGTGTTCCATTTTCAGAAGGATTGTAGCCAAGATCTAATTTATTGACAGTTTCTTAGTTTTTAACAAATTGTATTAAATGTAGTGAAATTTGATAAAAGAGAGAATTTAGAAGGGATAATGTCATTATTAAAGTTGGATTTTCAAGCAGCAAGATGGATGGCTAACTGGTATCTTGCCACTGTTACTGTAGATAGTGGTGAGGGATTGTTTGGGAAGGTAAGATCACATTGTTCCATCAGTATTAAGTTTCTTTGAGTATATTATTTTACTAGTTATTTGTAATTAGAAATATAAAAGTTATTTACAGTAACATTATGTAGTTTAATATATTGCATATCTTCCTAATGTTCCGCATTATAAAACTATGCATGGTAATTTGGACAGTTTTGTAGCTTTCAAATTAAATTTTTTTGCTCACGAGTCAGTCTCATTCCTAATCAGCAGTGCTCTACTATATCACTTTCTATTTTATGAATCAAGTATATTTCTGCACTTTTATGTTTACTTACAAATAGGCAAACTATCTTGTATATGAATATATTCTCCCAGTAGTCTAACCTTTATTTAAAATAAATAAGTTAATTAAAAAGGTGAGCTATGCCTGGACAACAGAAAAAGAAACTTGGCAGGTGCTTTGGTTATTGAAGCACAGTCCATGAAATAAAATATAAATATAAAATCAGCCTTCCAGATTACATGTAATCTATCCTTTCACAAATTAAACTAATCACTGAGAATTTTGTGAAGAATGAAATAACACAAGGATATCTAAAAAGTAAGGTTATTAATTAGTGATTGGTCAGTCATTTAAAAAATATGAGAGTGCTAAAAATGTATAGAGTATTAAAAGTTTACAATGTAATAAATTTATAGTGAGTTTCCAAGCCCACTTTTTTGTCTTTATTTTCCTCAATGAAAAGATTATTGTGAATATTCTTTCTCAAATGATTTTTATTCCTTTGAAGTTGATAGTTGGTTTTTCAGTCCCATAAAAATTTATCCAAGGTGAAAAAATAAGAAATAATTACATGAGGATGTACATACATCTATTAAATGGATATTAAATAACATTTATTTGTTTGAAGAGTCCTATTTCCCATATAAATATGGGAGGAAGCTATAATTTCTTTAAAGGAATGTGAATGAATAAAATAAATTTTCTCGTTATAGTAATATTTGTAAGGTATATGTTAACTATGATTACATATCTATTTAATGCAATATTGGTATGAAAATATGTATTTAATGGTATTTAATAAAATATGGTATTTAATAAAATATGGTACTTAATGATAAGGAAACTGGGGAATTACACTTGACTAATGGATTATCATAATGAATTCTGTAACATTTTTAGAGAATTTGGTACTTCTTCCCAGAATGTAGAATAATATTTATCTTTCAATGTAACTGTAAATTGTAAATTTTATCTTTTTATTCTAAGAAAATTTCATCATAGACACATTCATTGGATGTACAAAATAATTCTTATCCATTTAAATAGATAGTTTTTTAGGATCAGTCTCTTGGACTTTGTCTAATATGTAAGAAGGTTAGACTTCAGGGATAATAGTGTTGTTTTTTACTGTATCAGGTTGCATTTAGAAAGGTTGCATTTTTCTTTCCTTATTCTTATTTCTTTATTAGTATGTGCTTGTAATACATAATAATTACATTTATCTTGGGACATTCATTTTCTTTATTAAGTGGTGAGTTTTATTATTAACGACTTATATTTTAGAGAAATATTTCTTCCTTGGTAAAGTTGTATACAGAAACAAATGTCCAGTGTGAAAAAAATAATGTATTTTTTGTTGTTATGATGATGAATATTCTGAGTTTCTGATTGAAATAATCATTTAATACATGCTTCATATGTATAGAGATTTTAATAAAGTCTATTCCCAAACTCTTGACATAAATCCTTACTATATTTTACTGATTTGTTTGTATAGCTGTAGATGGTTTTATATGAAATTAAATATTTCAACATTGACTAAGATATATGTGGAAATATCTTTTTTTACAAAGTTCATCTCCTTAAAAAATCAGTCACTTGTTATATACTTCAGATTAATATGAGTATTAACATTCTATAATATATTATAATTAGATATATTCTAATATATAATATATTCTATAATGTTATTTTAATAAATGTTTCAGATGAAATTAATAGAATAAAATGTGTATTGAATCAGTGCTTTATATTTTAATGTTCCTTTCAGCTTTGTATTATTATTCATCCATCAGAGCTGCTGATGCTGGAGGGAATTTATAGTAAACAGGGATTAAATATTTCAAGTACTAATCCTGTTAGGAAGACAATAATTAATACAGGAGGAAAAAAAGTTTGCTGAGAAAAATCTGGGCTTACCTGAACGAAGTTAACTCTCAGAGTAGTATGTTATGTCTTAATCAGAGAGGTGGGCAGGTACAGAATTTCTGTGAAGAAAGCCTAGGATGAAAACCCATTTGAGTGTGTGTGTGTGTGTGTGTGTGTGTGTGTGTGTGTGTGTGCGCAGGCAATGATGTTTAAAATAGAAATCATCACAGCCCGATTAAGGAGCATACTGCCTGAAAAAAAGGCAAAACCTAAAGTGACTAATTCATAGTCTAAATCTGATTCATTCTAATGGAATAGTGTGATACTCTGTAGTTTAATACGTGTTTTTGTCCAGGAGCCTGCTTGCAGAACAAAGGTTCAGGAACTCGGACTGAGAGAGCAAGGCACAGAATCACCAAGCAGACTCTGGGGAGGTTTCTGGAACACTTTTGATTTTAATAAGTTCATCCAGCAATTTATAAAGTTTTGAAAGAGGAAGTGGCTAAGGGAGAGTAATATATTTGGCTAAACAGGACTGGTTATTGGAGTTTCCTTGAACAGGCGATGCAGGCATCTAACTGGGGGGACAGGTGAGGCCATAGCTGGCCATAAACAAGGCTCAACGTATGAGCTAGGCCTCTACTAGTGTGCTAGGAGACATACATGCAGTGCATTTGTCTCAGTCAGACTTGTATTGTTTATATTTTTGTTGTTGGTTTTTGTCTCTGTAACCTCGGCCAATAGCACTATATTTTTAAGACTTTATTTATATTGTTGGGCAAATAGTCTATTAAACTTAATGATTAGGAATAATAAAAGAACACCAAATATAGTTAAAACATATGGGGATTTAAGAATTAACCCTTTTGCCCAAGAACTTAGACTTTTTTTATCTAGTAAGGATATTGATTTAGACTGTGTCGCAGACATTATTGAGAGTGACAACATCTAGAGCTTGTGTATCATTAAGCTGTATAATAGTTTGGGTTAAGGTTTGTAAATGGTGGCAAAATATGGGGTCTCAGGTTTTTTACATATAACTTGACAGATTTTTATATTAATCACAATTATGACAGAGGTAGGGTGTTATACAGACATGAGAAAAATTAGTATGACAGCGGCTTAAAATTTTTCTTTTAAGTAATGTAACTCCTTTTACATGAGGTCTATTTGAGACTGGAGGTTTAATATAGCAGCTTGAACATCTTGAAACAGCAGGGCAGTTTTTTTGAGGCCTTGTGTGATATTTTGAGCTAGTTGATTTTCTGTGGTGGCTGTTGTCACTTGGTTATGTAGAGTGACGGAGGTAGTTGCTGTGGCGGAAATAGCTGACACTATGGAGATGATGATAGTTCCAATGGCGGAGATTTCTAGATCACACTTACTGCAGGGGTGAAGCATAAGGTTAAAAAGCGGATCTGAGTATTGCCAATCTTTGGTGAGATTAATGGGAACCCAGATGGCCGGGGGTCTAGCAACATATAAGGACCAGATGGAAGAATGGTTAAATAGGGAGGGGTTTATTCAGGGGGTAACCAGGGCTGAGGAATTAACCTGTAGGGAAGAATTACGGACAAACACAAATATAAAGGGAGATGGGAGGCAAGCGCTGAAAGGTAAAACTGTATAGTTAGATTTGTAAGAAACATAATATGAATCACCACAGACCTGAGAGGTACTTTTAACATGAGCATGGGAAACATTAGCACCGAGAGCAAGTAGAGTAGGGGTAGTATCAGTTGGCCTGAATCTGAGAAACCTAGAAGAGACAGTGGCACCATTAATACAGAATGGACGAGATGTCTGAGGGGTGTGGTAGCCGATGATGTGATGAGGCTCTATGAAAGTTTATAAGCAGTGTGGGTCTTATAGTTAAGTTGGTAAACTCTTTTTAAAGTAAGGAAAGTAGGGATGAATGTCTCCCAACCAACAACAGAGATGTTAGGAGGGGAGAAATGGAGCGGAATAGGGGAGCAGCACACATCAAAGGGGATGGCATCAGGGTTTGGCACAAAACTTTGTCCAGAATACCTTTCACAGACAAGCACGTGAGGAGGAGAAACGGGGTTGGGGACAGGATCCATGAGTGAGAGAGCGTCAAACATGGTAAGAGCCAAATGGCTGTTGGTCAAATCATTTTGTGGTAAGTAGAGGCAAACAGTGGAATCGGGGGAATTGGTGAAACAAACAGAAGGTGGGGAGAGAGAAGTATTTTAAACAGTAGAAACTATTGAATGGTGTGAAGTTGATCTCTCTACGGCTGTTAGATATAAACAGGAATCATTGTCAAAAGTCCTTGGCAAGGTAGAATTTTAATCTAGGGTGACACAAATGGGGGGTTTAGGGATTAAGACCCATGCTTGCTTGACAGGCAAAGAGGTGGCTTGTTTGGAATTGGCCGTCATTGCCGCACAAAGGAGTACAACCATCATTGGTCCCGAAATGGGTTGTGGAGTGCCAGGATACTTAAAGCAATTAGTATGTATGTATGTGTGTATGTGTATGTATGTATGTATGTGTGTGTATATATATGTTTTAATTTTATAATATAAAAGATTTTTTGTTGTAACAGGTATTTTATGTGTAATATATACTTGTGTCATAAGAATTTGAAAAAAATTATTTT